TGAAGTTGGTACTCTGAAGTGATCACTACCTGAGAGGTAGAGTCTTCAAATAAGGTTTGTTTAGGGCATAAAAAAAGTACCTTCAAGTTTCCTTCTTCAGCGACCGCCTTGCCTTTCGACTTGGGGTCCTGGTGCTCTGATGGAGTCGATTCACCTTGTCTTTGCTCCCCCTAGGATTGAGTTTCCCTGAGGGAAACACCTTTGGTGACGGTTGATGGATTCTGGAACTTGATTGTGAAGTCATCTTCATCATCGTCGTTGTCGTCACCATCTAGATCATCTCCGGTGTCTGGAATGACAGGTTCATCATCGTCTTCATCATCATCTTCATCCTCATCAACATCATCATCATCACCAGCAGCTGTGACGGTATGGACATCATCCCTAGGGATGGCTTCGTCAACCTCAGCTAGAGCAGCTTCGGTGGACGTGATTACAGGAGCAGCAACTGCTTCAGCTTCAATAGCCTCGGCTTCAACTGCAACTGAAGCTAATACTGGACCAACAGCCTAAGAAGTTGTAGGAGCAACATCTGATGATCCACCAGCGTTGGACCTCATCTCCCCCTCTCTGGCAAAGACTTGAGAGAATTGGCCAGAGAGTTCGTCCAAGCGCTGTCGCTGGAGAACCATGGAATCCTCCAGCCTTTGCAAAGTATTGGCTAGAGTTGTCGTTGCCTCACGCGTCTCATGGAGCTGGGCGCGATCATCGGCAGATAATGAAGGTGCACTCACTGGAGCTGGTTGACGGACAACATCCAGGATTTGCTGAAGAAGTCCAAGTTGCTGATCAGCAATCGCCTGCGCATCGTTAGCCCTGCTGGGAAGAACAACAATGGCATCGTTGTTGGCATGAACAGCTTCTTGGAGAGTCTGAATCTGACTCTGAACTTCTTGAACATCCGCCTGGAGGGCTAGGAAGTTCGCATCAAGATCGCCTTGGCGGGACATCTCTTGGTAAACTTTGTTGACCTTGGAAAGGACGGTATCAACGGCTGGAAGGAGAAGTTGAATGTCTGATGCCATGTCATAGTCATCATCGACATCCTTATCTCCTCCATCATCTTTCTCTCTTTCTCCCTCTTCCACTTCTTGAGCATCAGGCTGATGCATCAAAGAAGGACCTGCAAAAGAAGAAGTGTGAGCTAAAGGCTCAAGGTTAGAAGAAATGAAGGGGTAGG